TCATTTATGCTCGAATCCAGCATGCGTCCAGTTTGCCCCGTGTAGTTACAGATGTATTGGGTTGGCGCCCGCATATATTGCTCTCCGCAGGAACACCCGCACGGCGGACACTGTTGATTAAGAAACAAGTAATATCTTTAAAGAAGGTGGCTTGTTCACCCAATCATTTTGGGAAAAATAATTATAGGCAACACTCTGCTAATTGAATAGTGATTTTTGTTGTTGGAGAAAGTGTGTTATCTGGGAAAGTTTTACAGAAACACCGACAGGACTCTGTCTGCCACCATACCTCTCCGTGCTTATCTTTGCTGCAACACTTCCGCTTGCGTGATACTCACTATTTGAAGGCATGTTTTGTGGATTTCCTTTAAATCCAAGGACATTCCGCATCCTCCGTCGGGTAGAGAAGGCTCTTTCCCTAGATTGACACATGAAGAGTAACTGAGTGTCTAGGTACCGCTTTTGTACTTTTGCGCACACGTGTCAATTAGCCGACAGTTTTGACCTAACGCATGAAACATGAGAACGGAGATCTAGTCTATCCATTTTAGGCGCCTAAACGCCTAACCCACTCCGGAAATGCATGCTGTTATGACCCGCGCCTGGTACCCGTAATTGGCACGAGCAGTGAGGTAGACCAGCGGCTGTACCCAAAGCCCGTACGAGAGAAACAAGAGAAAAAGAACAGTGTATATTTACACAAAGCAAATTAGAGCAAGCGATTGTCACGCAGAGGCTACGCATCCGCGTCGAGACACTGTCCAATCAGACATGGGCCAATCAAAATTGAGGAGCCATCGCTGGCCAGACAGTGGGACTGCCTTTGTGAGTGCTGATTCATCTTGAGAATGGACGCATTCCCAGCATATGCAGAATATGTTTTTAATTTAATTTACTTTTGTTTTTCAGTAAAAATGTTTCAAAAATTTTAGTCAACATCTACATTACTCCCCCCCTCATCTTATTCTCTTTCTTTTCCGCCCAGGTGGCTATTCCCGTGGCCGTGGACCACTCCGATGACAGCCAGGTGCTGAGTCTCTTCTCACGTATTCGCTCCGAACAGAAGGGCCGCCTTGACCTACTCGTAAACAACGCCTACTCGGCGGTCAGTTACACTGCGTCACACCTTGGTAAGGGTTACTGGGACCTGGGGGCAGATGAGACGGCAGCTGCAACAGCCTGGGACATTGTGAACCGGGTGGGGCTGCGCAACCACTACATTTGTGCTACTCTGGCTACCAGAATGATGCTGGAGTATCGAGGCGAGTTGAACACCGACAGTGAGAAAGAAACGCAGGTTAGCGGGAAGGAGGAGGAGTCCCGGCCGAGCGACAGTCAGCGTCCGGGCCTCATCATTAACATCTCCTCCCTCGGCGGTCTGAAATATGCTTTCAGTGTCGCTTACGGTGTTGGTAGGCCTTGTGAATTGTTTTATTTTTTGCAACTCGACAACTGTCTGTTCTTAACTTGCATTTCCCGATTAGTACATTGTTTCCAGCAGCTTGGTGGGCAAGTAGGCCTTGAGGCTTTCCGGAGCTTACTCTTTTCTGGTACTGCATACACTAGAACCGTGTTTAGGGACCCGGTAGTGTCTTCCACCTCCGCGCCACGCATGAGGTCACGTGATTGCAGTTCTCGGCCTGCCTCTGGTACAGCCAATCACAGATACTGAAAACTGCGCTAACACTAAATCTCTTGCGGCTGTATACCTAAAATACGGTCTGGCCAATCACCTCCCTGCGCCTGACTCACATGACCGTGCCGTAGACGCTGTGTTTGATTCCCACGCCCTCACACTTCGGATACCGGTCGCCTCGCGGGTGGTTTTACACTCCTCAGACAGTCAACTTCCGCCAACCTGCTTTCCACTACTTCTGCATAGAATACACACTTTCCTACTATTCGAAGTCTCACGTCTCTGCCTACACGGAAGCGGGCTTGAAGGTCACAGCGACAGGGGTCTATCGCGGGGTCTTAAGGCATACGTCAAAACCAATGACGAAAACTATCAAGGCAGTACGGTACTATTAAGCAAAATAGTACGGGATAAACAATGTACAAACCCCGAACAATGGATACACAAAGCCAAGAGCGGAGGGAGTCGGCTAAATCGCCTGACTCTATACATGGGAACAACACCGCCACGCACGGTGAAACCAATCTTGGGCAAGCGTATGTATGTTAGTGGGAAAGGGGCGTGGCTTTGCTTTTATATGATTTCAGGAGGCACTTCATATGTCACCAGGATTGTCTGAAACACCTGCGCGAAAAGGGGGGGGCGGTTCGTGAACAGAGGCAATTTGAAAGTGTCAGGGGTGGGGGTGTTAAAGTGGCCCTT